AACTGAGCATTTTTCATATATCATTGGTCCATTGCATGGTTTCTTTTGAGGAATGTATACTTAGTTTGTTCACTACTGTTAATCATACAATTTGTTTTTATTATCAACTATTTTGAAGTCCGTGTATATTCTGGAGATTAATTCCTTTTAAATAGTATAGTTTTCAGATATTTTCTCTCCTTCTCCAGGTCTCCAATCTGTTGGTTGTTTCTTGGGCAGAGCAGAGTATTTTTTCCATTTATGTTGAATGAAGCTGCTTTCTTAGCTTCTATTTCAGACAATTTGGTATTGCAATAAGCCAATGTTATTTTTATCTTTATGTAGGGTTTTCATTCTGCACTTTTGCTGAAATAATGTATTAGTATCAGCAGTTTGTTTGTTTTTCAAGTTTTAAGTCTCACTTCCTCCCTTTCTGTTTCTCCCTCTCTGTGCTTTCCCCCTGCCTCTGTTTGTCTCCCTCTCTCTCTCTGGCCCTTTCCACCTCTGATTGCCATTTCTTTTATTTTGTTGAAGTGGTGTGTGGGTTATTAATGTGCATTTGCTGAGCAATTATCTTTTCATTCCTGGGATAAATCTCACTTTGTCTTTCTACATAAACTCTCTAATATGCTTCTAGTTTAAGCTTTTTAGAATTCTGCTGAGAAATTTTGCAGCTATGTTCTTAAGGATATGAAACTATGGTTCACTTATTTGTGTATCCTTATTTCATTTTGGTATCAAGGTAATATTGGTCTCTTTTAACTGACATAAGTATGGCTCTCCAGATGTTTTGCTTTCTATTTGCAAAGTGTGCTTTTCCGTGTGTGTGTGGTCTTTAGATTGAGGTGAGTTTCAATTTAACAATATGTAGTTCAATCTTTTTTGAAAATCCACTCATTTGCTGTTTTTTTCCTTAAATTTGTTTATTGGTACATTTTAGCTATTCCATACAGTTGCATTTATCATTGGGTACTTGTACCTTTACATGATATATCTTGGTTCTTAATTTTCCCCCATTCCCTGTCCTCCCTTCACTCCCTCCACCCTTCCATATTTAAAAAGACTTTGTTTCCATTTTTTCCTTTTCACATCATTTTTCCTTTCCCTTCTTTCCTTTCCCCTACCCCTCTCACTTCCCCTACCCCTTTGGAACTTTTCTTCCAATTTTACATTATCAATTATTCATTTTAATATTTTAAACCTTATTTACACTTTCAGTTTCTCACACCAGTGAAACTATTTGGTATTTACTCATGTGTATCTTATTTACTTCACTTAAATGTATGGCTTCAATATGCATCCATTTGCTATAAATATCTCTAGTTAGTCATTCTTTATGGCTGAGTAATACTCTATTTTGTAAAAAACCCACATCTTTTTTTATCCAGTTTCCAGTTGATGGGCACTTGGGCTGTTTCCAAGCTTTAGCTATTACAAACTGTTCCACTATAAACATGGGAGAGCGTCTATCACTGTGGTATGACTCCTTTAATTCTTTTTGGAAGATACCCAGAAGGGAAATAGCCATGTCAAGTGGGACCTCTAGTCTTAGTTCTCTGAGGGATCTCCAATCTGATTTCCACAGTAGTTGCACCAGTCTGCACTCCCACCAACAATGGAGAAGGGTTCCTTTCTACCCACAACCCCACCAACATTTGTTATTGGTTGATTTCTTTTCTTTTTTAAAAAAAATAACTTTATTATCAGACACACAAATACAAAAAATTAAAACCATTAAAAAAAGAACAATGCAAGGGGAAAAAACCCACCACAATATTCAAACAAATTAGCATTCTACCAAAACAAAATTGAAAAGCACTTAAACATTTTTTAAACATTTTTCCATATAACTTAAAAAAGCATCTCATGCACCAACAAGATACCAGAGGATGTGATTTGTTCCTCAGCTCCTCTCTAGTTTATTAATCATGTTTTGCACTATGAGCACTATCTCTGCTGTTTCCTCAGAAATTATTTCTGATTTCATTTTTTCCAGATAGTCTTTTGTTGCCAATTCCGGGAGTTCAGGTGGTTGTTGTTTATGTGTCTTCTCATTTTGATGGCGGGGGTGTGTGGGTGTGTCTGTGTGTGTTTGATGCTGGAGCCCGTGCGTCCTACCTCCTCTGCACTAGGAGTGATGGTATGGCGGCCTGAAAGCAGTGCTGTGTGGCATGGGAGAGGGACATTGCAGAGGACAAACAGTTCATGTGTACTCTCTTCTCAATTTATTGAAGAGTTTAAGGATTATTGATGATATGACACCCTTAAATGTTATATAGAATTCAGCAGTGAATCCCCCAGGTCCTGAAATTTTTCTTAGTTGGTGGGGTTTTATTACTATCTCCAGTTTCACGGCATGAGATTCTCACCATTTTTGTCCTCTTGGGTTAGCTTTGGTGTTTTACATGTGTCCAGAAATTTGAAAATTTCTTCATAATTTTCCAATTTATTGGAATACATTTTTTCATAGGAGTTACTATCTTTTGGATTTCAACAGTGTTTTCTGTGATTTTGCTTTTTCATTTTTAACTGGACTGAGGTAAATCTCTTCTCTCTCATAGGAAGTTTGACTAAGAGTTTATCTATTTTTTATTCTTTCACAGAGCAAGTCCTTTGATTTGTAGATTCTTTGTATTGACTTTCAGTCTCCAATTCATTTCCCCCCCTAATCTTTATTATTTTCTTCCTTAATTTTCACTTGAGTCAGGATTGTTTTTTCTCAAGTATCTTAGCATTCCTCATTAGGTTATTTATTTGAGATTGCTCTGCTTTACAAATGTGATAATTAATTACAACAAACTTCCCTCTGATGAGTGCTTTCCATGTATCCCAAATTTTCTGATATGTTTTCACTGTCATTAACTTCCAAGTTTTAAATTTTTTTCTTGATTTCTTCTCTGATTCACTGTGTTCAGGAGTGTGCTATTACATTTCCAAGTGGCTCTCAATTTTCTGTGGTTTCTTTTGAGGTTGATTTCTATTTTCATTGCACAATGATCTGTTATAAACATGGGGTGATTTCAATTTGTTTGTATATATTTAACCAGGCTTTGTGCACAAGTAGGTGATCAATTTTAGAAAAAGTACCATGTACTGCAAAAAAGAATGTAGGTTATATTGTAGTAGACTGAAATAATCTGTGGATATCTACTAAGACAATATGTTTAAGAGTGTGATTCAACTCTGATAGTTCTTTATTGATTTTTTGTTCAGTTGATCTCTTTGTGGAAGTGGAGTGTTAACTTCCCCTACTATCATTGTACTAGAACTTATTTGATTATGTATGTTCAGCAGTAGTCATTATATGAAGATAAGTGCTCCAGTATGCACTGCACAAATATTTGGAAGCGTTATGTCTACCTGTTCAATTGTTACTTTAATTGGCATATCGCAACTTTTTGTCCCTACTAACCAATTTTAGGTTGAAGTTTTCATTGTCTGAGATTAAAATTCAAAGTCTTGCTAGTTTTCAGTGTACTGATCCTTGAAATATTGTTTCTGAGCCTTGATTTTCATCTATGAATATCTTTTTTGCATTAGATGAGTTTCTTGAATGCAGCAGACTGTTGGATTTTTTTTGATCCAGTCTCCCAATTTGTGTCTTTTGGCTTTAATCTGAGAAATCCAACATGGCAGAATAGAAGATTAACTTCTGGGAAACTCAGAGAAGACAGTCTAAAAACATGGGTAATTGGAGGAGAGGGAGACATGCACCCTGGTGCAAAAAATAAAAACAAAAGAAAGCATTTGAAAAAAGAGATCTGTGGCTGAAATAAAACAAAAACACTGTAGTTTAAAAGAGGAAAAGATGTCTGCTCTTGTTTTCCATGGGAAGTCATTTTTGAGAAGTTCCTAGCTAGCCAGAAGATCCTTAGCAATGCAGCAGAGTAAATCCTATCAGAGACTTGGAGAACACATGCCCTTCATCTCCTGGTCTCCTCTTGAAATGCAGAGAATGCTGCAGCCTGGTAGTTTTTTCCCCAGCACACATTAGAGGGAAGAGATCAGGGATGGGAACTACTCCTCCCCCACCCATCTGTCCTCACACCGATAACTATCTGTGTTGGGTGTCTACAGTACTGGATCCCATGCATACTCAAGCCAAAGCCTGCAGCCTGTAGTGTGTCCCATGCCAACTGGGATATTCATCTGGCACACAGAGCTAATAGTGGTCCAGCTTGAGTCCGAACTCTGCACCATGGGTTCGCTTGAGCCTATACCCAATTCTCACTGCCTCGGTCCAATTAAAGATTCACAAGAGACTCCATCTGTCATCTAGCACCTGTGCCCAAGCAACCTGGCCTTACACAGGGTGTTTGAAGCCTGTGTGAATCTCTGCCCAGTTCACCTGGACTGCAGCAGCTTCCCTTCAGCACTGAGGTGCTCCACCTCCACTGGGCACACCAGAATATCCACCCTATATGCTGCCAGATCCCAGGCACAATCCCTGCCTAACACAGTAGGCCAGTCCTCTGCCAAGTTTAACAGCAAAGGCTAAAGGTCTGCCTGTTTTGGCTGGTACTTTGGATGCCTGTGAGACAGTACCCAGAGCCTTGCCACCTTGCTGGGCCTGCAGAAATCTCCCCATGTTTGACTCTGGTTGATTTAGTTCTCTGGGAGTGCCGGCTCCACAGGAGCCTCCACCTGGTGTCAGAGCCTTTCCCCAGGTCACACTCACCTGAATACACATTGCATAACCAGCCTTGGTCCCCAGCCAGCAGGAAGCCATGACAGGACCCTCAGAACCAAGGTCCCACACCTTTCCTGGTCCAATACCACAGCCTGAACAGCTTCCACAGACAGGAGACTGAGGAGAGAGGCCCCTTAAACTGAGTAGCCACCATCCAAACTCACAGACAGTACAGAGGGCAAAGAGAAATGTGACTCATAAGATTAAAAACTGCTAGCCCTGGAAGAATTCTGGAATCCCTTCTTTGCTCCTCTTTGGGTACATTTTGATTGTTTACTGTCATTTTTCTTCTGCCATCTTTGTGAGACCCTATGGATGTTCCCCTTCATGATCATCTTCTGCCTGCCTCCATGTGCTTGTTTGGTTCAAAATGTTTATGGTAATTTCCATCCAATGAAAACCTTACAGTGAGTCCTCCTGCACCTTCTTCACCAGATCTGTCTCCATCAAACTTCTGACTCTGCATTAAAGTTAAAATGGTCACTAAAGGTAAAACCAAACAATCTGAGATCAAGAAACAATAAAGATGACTTCCTGAGAAGCCCCAGTGGTTTCACTAGTGAATTTACCCAAACAAATGTTCTGTAATCAAATAAATGCCAAATGCCAAATGCCAAATGCCAAAATGAGCATTGTCTCCTCAAATGTGCCAGATGTTGATCCAGAAGGTTTTGTTCTGCAGGATTTACTGTCACAACCAATGTGTCAAGGGCCCAACATGTTTGCCCAATTAGTCATAAACCTCTATTTACTTTTCATACAGTTAACAAGTATTTATGGAGACTCTATGGTGCAACAGAGATGTTTTCAGCTACTGGTCATCATGTTATGAAAAACCAATCAAACCACTGGTCTTGTGGACTTTGCATTCTCTTTGGGGAAGATAAATAAACAACACATAGGCATGTACAGTAGTGAAGGGTTGATAACAAGTGCAGAGAAAGATTTATAAGTAGGAGACAGATTACTTGATGACAGAAGCCTGAGCAGCTGAAGAAGTTGGACAAGGAAGGGCTCCATGACGAGATCCCATAGAGTCAGGGTTCTGAATAGAGTGAGAACATCTGCATCAGGAAGAGCAAGTGCAAAAGGCCTGTGGCATGAATTTGGTTGAATTTGTAAGTAAATGGCAAAAAACCCCAAAAACCAATGCAAAAGAAGCTGAGGAAAACAGGAGTGAGTAAAGGGAAATTCAACTAAACAAACGTACCAAATACCAATAAGCATTACCATTTGGTGTGTTTGCTGAAAAAATATAAAATGTTATAGATTGGTAGGATTCATTGTTAAAATGAATGTGTAGTAATGTATAAATAAATTAAAATGGTGAGTATATTTCTGAAATTTTCTTATCTTTTTTATCCTTTTGAAAATTAAAATATGAAGATGTTAGATGTATCAAATGACAGTAAAAAAGAAATCCTAATTCATATGAGATGCAAGATTTATGCATTGCACATTGAAATATGGAAAGAGAAATTCTTTCATTTTATAAAAATCATATTTTTTCAAAGTAAGTCTCTAGCATATTACCAAAAAATGAAGTCTTAACAAATATTGTATTCTATCCCACAAATAAAATGGTAAATTGCAACTTTTAAAGACTAGTGTTTTAGGCAGGGATCTCAAATGAAACGAATCAACAAAATACTTGTAGACACAAAGCAGATATTTATTAAGGACATCGTAGGATATGATAGGGAGGTGGTGAAGTCCCTTGATGCTCCCTCAGCAATCCCAAGGACAAGGCTGGCTTGGGTTTTCTGAGGCTGACACGAATGCCCAGGACAGAGGAGGGAAGGGGCCTGGTGTGAGTGTGGGAGACTGAAGACCAAGAAGAGGTACAGGTCATTAACTGATTTCTAAGAGTGTCAGAAGGGAAATGTTCTAAAGGTGAGGATGGGGGTGGGAGAGAAAAATAATTTAATTTTAACATAGGCCTCACAATGTAACACAATACCTGGAGAAAAACTGAAAGAAATATGGTCCATCTCTCAAAGTTACAATCAAAATCCTACACCTTACTGGGCCTCCCACAAATAAATGCACTCTTGACCTTTAAGAATCCTTTCTTGACCTCCTTGTTCCTCAGGCTGTAGACCACAGGATTCAGCATGGGGATGACCATGGTGTAGAACACAGAGGTGATTTTGGCAGTGTCCATGGAGTGACTGGAGCTGGGCTGTAGGTACATGAACATTGTAGCCCCATAGAAGATGGAAACAGAAGTGAAGTGGGAGGCACAGGTGGACAGAGCCTTGAGATGTCCTGCAGCTGAGCGCATTCTTAGGATGGTGCCAAAAATGAAGATGTAGGATGTTGAAATAAACACGATGGCAAAAAAGATATGGAAGCTCACAAGATAAACAATAACCAGCTCACCAACTTGTTTGTCAGAGCAGGAGAGAGCCATGACTGGTGGGACTTCACAGAAAAAATGATGGATGATATTGGAGCTGCAGAAGGACTGACTGAAGGCTTCCCCAGTGTGGATGCAGGCATTCAGTAAACTAAGGACATAGCAGCCTGTGACGAGACCTACACACACACTGCTCCTCATGGTGGTGGTGTAGTGCAGGGGCTTGCACACTGCTACATAGCGGTCATAGGCCATTGCAGTAAACAGATAATTTTCCACACAAATGAGGGCTGCAAACAGGAACATCTGAGCAGCACAGGCATTGTAGGAAATGACCTTGTTTCCTGTCAGGAGCTCAGCCATGACCGAGGGAGTGACAACTGAAGAGTAGCAGAAATCCACCAGAGACAGGTTACCCAGGAAAAAGTACATGGGAGTGTGCAGACGAGGGTCCAGGAGGATCAGCAGGAGCATCCCCAGGTTCCCAGCCACAGTGATGGTGTAGATGAGGAGGAAGGTGATGAAGAGGGGAACCTGCAGTTGTGGGTCATCGGTCAGTCCCAGCAGGAAGAACTGAGTCACCTGTGTCCTGTTCTCCATTAGTGCTGTCCAGAACCTGTACATGTGCTGTAGCAAAGGAAAAGAAGAAAGAGAAGTATAAAAAACTGACCTGAAAGCAAAAAGTGTAAAACCATATGGACTCTGTTATTTCAAAACATTTTATACTTCAGATTCTCTAGAAAACTCAGTATCTTGAAAATCAAAGTGATTCTATTAATTGTATGCACATTTCACACTTGCAAACCTTACATACCTCAATGTATCATCTATATAATTAAAAAATTTAAATGTGTAAAGTGAGCTATAGAGAGTTCATTAACTTGATGAATATGACTGTTGGATGTATGCAGCAGGAAATTTCCTGCTCCTGAACCCATTGAAAATTGACACTTCCAAGTTGCTCACCTATCAAGAACTGGAGACCATGTTAGATGTGTTTCATCATCTCCTTTCAGCACTATTGTGGTTTTGTTTTGTTAGTACATTAATTGAAGTAACGGAGCATAACAAGTAAGATTTCATTAATATTTGCACAGATGTTAAATGGCACATTCTACTGTGTACCCGTGTTTAACTTTAACTTAGACTGAAAGGTTTGCAGTTCTGAGGACCTTTTTTTTTTGGTAGTTCTGAGGATCTTAACTGAAATCACCTCAAAGTGAATCTTACTGAATGTATAATAGCTAGTTTTCTCTTTTCTTTCAAACTCAGTGTTCGGGGCTCCATTGGGAACTGACTTATTGTTTAGGAGGCAATTTCATGTGGGGCTAAAACTAACCAAATAAATGCAGAAGAATAAAATGATCATTTCTTTAATAAGAAAAACTTTCAATGTGTTAGCAAGTTCTGAATGAAGTTTTCTGCGCTATCTCCTACTTTTTGACATGAGCACATCTATACATGTTGAACATGATGTGTTAAGAGCATCAACTTTTGCTCAAGTTGAAGAGGAGTTTAATTATTGACCCTCATGGCTCCTCTCTAGGCACAGGGATGTACTGAGGTCACCAGGGTGGAGCATGCGCCCTGGCCCAGGGGATTCCAGGGAAGGAGGAGCAGCAGATGCAGCAGAGCAAAGAGTTTAGGTTCTGAAGGAACACAGGTCAGACTGCACATTGACCACCCAGAAATTGTTAGTCCTCAGGGACCTACAGTGAACTTGACATTGCCATCTGCACAATAAACAGAGCAAGGTCACTGACATTCAGGCATTATTGTGAGCATTAAAAAGTAACTAAAGGAGAGTAAAACAATGTGTGTTAAGGTCATCCTGATGAGTGGCAGCTCTCATGTTATTATTAGGATGGAATAATGGTTTTGAAGAAGTTGTGACCCAGGTCTGTGACACTCAGGGCTTTGCTTGCAGGTGACCTTGAAGTCTTAAATTTCCCTCCCCAGTTACCTTTCCCGCCACAGAGGGCTCTATGATTTTCTGTGCTCTGCAGTGCTTCAGGGTCTCACTCTATTCCATGGATGTGATTGCGGCTGCTGCAACTCCATGTGGGACATGCTTTGTCAATACTGCTTCCTTGAAATCCATATTTGAGTTGGGAAGTCTCTGTTTCATTCATTAATGTCATCATGCAAAGTCACAGAACACAAACATTGAAAGTATCTAGTTCATCGGCCATGCTTATTTCACAAAAATGTTTTAGCAGGAAGTTTCTGTTCTAAATATTTTGTTTGAATTTCTTCTTGAGTAGTGACAGTATTTAAAATTACTTTAAATTGCAATCTTTGAAGACTATTTACCAAAGGTGACTGTTGTTTCTTACCATATTTTTTCAAGCATTTGGTAATTTAAACATATGAACCACCTCCATGAAGATATTATGTTCACCACACTTGTCACAAATGTCATTGTTCACATGTACTCTATTACATAACTGGCAGTATGCAGCTTATATAGAGATATGTTATGTGTAATATTCCCTAATTATCCATAAGAAAACCACGGAACAGAGAAGTCACATGATCCTGCGAGAGTCTGTAAGTAGTCAGAAAAATAGTCAGGATATGTGAGGTCAGATCATCTTCCAAGAAGAAGCAGTTTGGAGTATACTCATTTCTTTAAGGACCTTTTGCAATTTAAAGAAGAATCACCTCAGTATTCTGAGATCATGTTTGTGTTTGTGTTTGAAACTCCAAATGAGATATGGTGAAAAAGAGAAAGTCACTAATCATTCAAAGCACTATTTTTCTTAAATTTTATTCATATTTTGGGAGAAAGAAGCATTATTTGTCAGCTTAATCTCCAGACTGTCTATGAAAGACATTTATATCAAGGCTCATCTTTCCATTTCAAAATATTTCAGAAATATTTCTTTAATAAAATAATTCATCTTAGGTATAGTTATGCCCTGTATTTGTATAAATTATAGTTCTGAGTAAAATGTTTATGGAATGGAAGAGCTTACCAGTTTACTAAATGAGGAGCAACAATCAGTACAGAAGAGTGATATGAAATTAAAAAAATATTCAGGGGATATTGGTGAACTCCTCTGAGAGGAGCTCCCTCTGTCTCAAGGAATATTTTAATTTACCAACATCTCTAAGGCAGAGAGGGAAAATGGGGAAGAGGACAATCACTTGGATCAAGTTCCATAGGCACCATGAATCCCTCTGTCCCATTGGAAGAACA